TCATAGAGCTCTTTAAATATGCATATAATATCTCGAGCACTATTGAAGTTAGATACATGGAAATAGCGCTACAATGAAGGCATTGGGCCAGAACGTCGTGTAACCTACAAGTATATACATTGCACAAATCAAATTTTCAAACTTTTTTTTTCAAATTTAATGGTGTTATGCCCCTTTTTTCTTGAAAGCCGTTAATAGCTGCTCTGCAGCTATATTTTAATTTGTTTTTGTTGAACGTCCACATTTAGTAACTCGATTCAGCCTTCGTAATGCTGTTAGAACTCACTATATAGAGTCTATTGAGAGGCATTTGTGCTTGTGAAAATACGCGGATAGCGAGAAAACAGACCGTAACTAGTGGAATCACCAGCGGTACACAACTAACCGAATTTACGTCCTCTCTACACAAACACAACGGCGCTAGACGTATTCTAACATTACCAGCACAAGTAAGCCCAAGCGTTTTACGATTTACTACGACCTGAATCACAGGACTGTGCCTGAATGTATAACCAAAACATAAATCGTTGGTGATAACATTCACCAACCAAATTTACATGATAATTACATTGCTGTCAAAGGATATAATGTACGCCCTGTGACTGGCTGCAGTAGGTTCGCATGATGACCCCAGGTCAAGGACACTGACAATATTGTTAGATTAGAGAGGCTCCAGACCAATCTGATTAAAATAAGATCCTGGTTGGCGTAATTTTTTACATTTTATTTTAATATGTTTTTTTTCATTTTCATTATTATTATTATTATTATTATTATTATTATTATTATTATTATTATTATTATTATTATTATTATTATTATTATTATTATTATTATTATTATTAATTTTTATTTGTGTTACTATTAATTTTATTTATTATTATTCGTTTTAATATTTGGCTTTTATAATAAAACAATCGATTGTAACGTCAAAAATAATTAAAATAAATAATAATTATATAGAAAAAAATTATGCTAGCCAGGATGTTGTTTTAATCAGATTGGCTCTAGACTGGCCCAGTCGTAGCAATTTTATTGTATTAAATTGTTATTTCTTAAAAAACGAGTTTGTAGAATCACTTTCGTTGACGCAAAATTCGCATGGGATCAAAATTTAAGAAAGAATTATAAAATTGTCACGGCTGGGTCAGTCGAGGGAGGCTCCTCGGCCTGAGCAAGGATGAACTACATGCAGAAATCCACGCATCTAACAAGACAGAGTACGGTTCGATTCAAGTCCAATTGACGTACAATTCGAGTAGGATTGGCGTACGATTCATACTCCCAATGAAATAACTGTACCTCGCTCAGATCGGAAGTTAGTTACGTGGGCCCAAAACCTCAATACAATTATTAAACAGTAATAGAAACGTATGAATACGATCACAAGAACATGAAACATGTGTAAAAAATATAGTTCGTAAATTATCCCAACCCAGTGCTAAAAATCTTAAAAACAAGTATCTTTATTTACAATTAACCCTTTTTTTGTTAATTAATATTTTTAAACAAAAAACTCACACAACAATATTATTACATTGGCTAAAAATCATGATTGCTATATATCATATGAGTGAATTAGTGTTTCAATGTGATATATAGAAGATAATATTTGGTAATCGTAGTCCTAAGTAACTATTAAAAATAGCTAGACATTTCGAGCAATGGCTCTTGAAGAGCAATGTTTCTTGAAGAGTCATTGTTCGAATGTTTCTTGAAGAGCCATTGCTCGAAACGTCTAGCTATTTTTAATAATTACTTAGGAATAGGATTACCAAATATCATATTCTATATATCACATTTATCAGTCCGAGCAGGTTTATTAATTTATTAACTACTTTTAGTATTTCAATGGGAGTGTGCATCGTACAAACATGCCTATTCAATAATTTTTAGACAGTTTTGTAAAATGTCTTGACAAATTGTCACCCCAAAAAATGTATTATTTTGAAGATTTAATTATTAA